AGGATCTACGACCTCAGAACATAGGGATTTGTATATGAGACATAGCACTCCGAATCAGGCCAGAGATCCTCATCGATTCATGACGAAGTCTCCAGAAGTGTGACCGCATTGACCGATGAATTGCAAGGCAGCCATGATATTGTATGTCAGCATGAGTTTAGGGTAAAGGAGCTTGAAGAAACTAGGGATTATAGGGTCAGCTGATCGAGGCGACTGTTGTGTAGCAGCAGCATCTAACGCATTACCTATGATCGAGGAGCAAGAGGATGAAAAGAATGAGGAAGACGAGCATCACGATTAATTTATTCTTTTCATTTCAAACATGTGTAGATCTATTTCATTTATAATGTAAATGATATTGTACTGAATGATTATTGGATGATTTCTTACCATTTGTTATGACTACTTTAATTTCATTCATTATCATTATCTATACTTGATCTTATTAACCTGCTATGAGACATTATGAATATGAGTCATAATTATTTTGTTTCATTATTGCAGGTGTGTAAAATTTAATTTGCCCCCAAACTATTGCTTTGTTCCAAATTAGTAGCAGATATATTGATTGCTAATTCAATGATTTCTGTCGCTTATTCAACCACTAATCAGTCGGTAATCCAGGCATTAATTCTGCAACTCAAAATTTCATCGTTATTTTGATACATGGTTAATGACTGAAAAAACAGACGCTATTCAGTCGTTTGTCGGTTGTGATGAAAGCTTTATTGATTGACAAAAATTGGTCGCAAATTAGTCGGTAATCCAATTTATCAACTAAATATCATTAATTACAGAAAGATTTTTCAATCGGTAATCCCTGACTTTCATGTAGTGATATTCAGATTAAGCATAGTTGTAGTTAATCCCAAAATAAGTGTGGGATGGTTTCTCTTGTGATTCTTTATTTGTTTAGAAGCATATATGACTGCTCTTCCATGCTACATAAAATACAAGCTAATCCCGTCAATGATGCATTACTACATATCTGAAACCAACCAGCACTTACAAGAATAGTTAGCATGGTTGCAATCATAAAACATATTTTAAATCTCTTAAAAAGTCATTTTACTCAAATTTAACTACTTTGTGTTAATATTGACAAAAACAACCTAATCTAAGAGAATCTTTCAATTTCCAAGATATCTAAAAAGGTCTATAAAACCACTGCAACTATAGCCGACCTTGGTCAATCTATCATCACTTCAATTTTATATTAGCCCGTAATAATACCTTCACAGCTAATCATATGCCTAAGAAATGCAACACTTAAAAAAAATCACATTTTGAAAACTTTAAATAAAATTACTTCTCTTAAAGTGCTTGTAAAAAATGCATGTAGATGATTGGCATGATAAATCATAATATAACCTATGAATACAATTACAAACTTATCCAAAAAAGGTTTAAAAATGATATTCATGAGAACAATAAATACAATTAGAAGATCAATCAATTCAAAATAATCAGCATAAATTCACGATATCCATACCTTGTGCTGATTGCTAGTTTTACTATATCAGCTTTAATTTATAGTTGACATAACCTGAACATAAGTTAACTTTAAAATACAATAAAGCTCTATAAAGTCAAATAAATCAGCCATTATTGGTAAAAGGCATTCAATCATAAATTTAAGGACGTTCAATTATTTACATTCAATTATTTATACTTAATACACAATCTTAGATTATCATCATTCTTCACATAAAGTAGTAGAGCTCCCCATACTGAAGTACTACATTAGAACCCTTCCCCAACAATTCCTTTATATGACTTCAGTCTTTGCATGTTTGATCATATTCTATAAGATTCTCTAGCTATAGATTACTATCTCAGTATCAAATCAATATACAAATTCATCTCCTTGAATGGAAATATACCAGACAAATCATCTTTTTTTTTACTTGAATACTCTGCTACGTTCTTGAGACAAAAAAGCAAGAACTTTTTTTAAAAGTTTATAATCTTTCAAAGATAATACTAATATTGAAAACACTACTCTAAACCTGCTTAACTCTTCTTCTCTAAAATATTAAACATCGTCACCTTTCAACAATCTATAGTTATGAAACGGCTACACAGTCAATCCACCCCTAAGATTATATCCAGTTCAAAGAGCAGCGATAAAATTAGAAATTCCACAATATTATTCTCATAAAATTTATAAGTTTTCAAAACACACTCTATTTATATATATATATATATATATATATATATATATATATGAATTCCATTTGGCATAACAATTGATTATTACAAAATGCATGATTGAAGTATTGTAAACCAAAAAGCATGCGATCAAAATCTTGGAAAAAGATTGACATGCTCGTGTCAAATGGCTCAAATTAAATTCCGGTACGTTTATTTTGAATAACAATTGTGCCTGTAATAATATCAAGCTATCGTTTAGCATCTTTTTGTGATAGAGCATAGACCTGAGGCCGAATATTAAATTGAGTCTGAATCAGACATGGAACTAATATAGTCGAGTATGTTACTTTTTATCTAACAAAATTTCTTATAGGTGGTGCAGCACTAGCTTTTACTTCTGTTGAAGGCCCGTCACCAAAGAGTAAGACGATACTTTGGCATATGTCTGGTTTGATGAAACCAAAAGTATATGTTAGTATCAAAACACACTCTATTTACATGTTGGAATTAAAAGAGAGGCAATCAAATTAGATATTCCTCAAGATTATTCTAATAAAATTGACATGTTTTTAAAAGCACACTCTGTTTATACATATGAATTCCATTTGGCATAACAAATGATAAAACCAAATGCATGATTGAAGTATTTTCAATCAAAAAGATTTAGTAAAAATCTTGAAAAAAGAATGAGATGCTAAAGTATCAAATGATTCGAATTAAACTCTAGTAGGTTTATTTCGAATAACAATTGTGCCTGTGATAATATCAAGCTATTCGTTCTTTTTGTGATAGAGCATAGACCCAAGGCTGAATATTCAATTGTCTGATTCAGACATGGAACAATTATCATCGACTGTGTTACTTTTTATCAAGCAAAATCTCTTTTAGGTGGTGCAGACTTGCTTTTACTTTGGTTGAAGGCCCTTCACCAAAGAGTAAGTCAATACTCTGGCATATGTTCAGTTTGATGAAACCAAAAGTACATGTTAGTATCAAAACGAAATTCTAACCTATATGATCTCCCACACTTCACAAAGTCACTGACATTAAGATTGCTCCAGCAATTGGTTAGTTCAGATTTCTTCCAATTTGAGATTCAGAACTGAGATGTTTGCATACTTCTTGATCCTTCAACACTCTCCTATTTCTGGCAATAATTTTCAATTGATTGCATAATTTTTTATATTTCCAAATTTATACTCATTAATTTTAGTATAAGTCAATTAAATAAGAATTTGCGTGATTTTTTTTTTTTGCATTTTTTATTCAATTCAAAGTAACTAATAGTTGTTAAAAATAAAATTTTGATTTTATGAATTAGAGTGCCTTTGAATGATTTTGTCCATCACATTGTAGATTTGCACTGGAAAACCACCGAACTTAAGGCGTACTACATTAGCATTCCTACTTCACAAACCCAAGTTTGATCACAAATACCAAAATTTCAAGACTGATAATTTTAGCAATCAGATATTAAAGTAAAACAAGTTCTCTCCATGTCTTTGAATGCTATAAACAAAACCTTAACCACCCCCAAAATCACAACTCCACCACCAAACAATCCTCCAACCCCGAACCAAACTTTCAAACAATCCATGCTGAATTGCTTATTGATTTGTCTAGGTTCTAGAGTAAAACTGACGAAAAAGTCAGCTTCTCTATCACCACGCTGCGCGACATGGAAAAATATTGCTATAAAATGGAAACAAGAGGAAGAAGGCATGCATGCTTAATGTTATCCTCGGCTTCTTTCTAGTGGGCAGAAAACTGACAAAAAAACTCACAAATATCTAAATTCTTGCAGCATAGACAAAAGAAAATCATAGCCCCTTCAATAAGGACTTCAAATTTGGACAATGAAAAGATCAATAGTACAAAAGCTATGTATATAAGCACAAGATATGGTGATAACCACGAGAGATGTACGAATTTCCACCAGCGTACTGGTCTAGTTTCAGGTTACAATTAACCGTGAGATTCTACCATTTCAAACTGAAAGCATCAAAATTCAAGGACAAACTATAAGATGACAACATTAAAAAATATTAAAACAAATGTGGCAAATTATTAAAAAAAGAAGAAAGATAAGGAATAAATAATAGTTATATCTACAACATGATTAAGAGATTAGATGTAACTGCACCACTGACCCTAATTTGATTTTTAAATTTCACGTTAAAGAATGAGGCAACAGCACCATTGTTGATCAAGGAGCTTTAAGGACATTATAGAATGTAGCAAAACAAGTAATTAATGCATTACATAAAACATTAATAGAAATTTGCTAAAGGCCTACCATGGGATCACTTCTGTTTTTGGATTTTGTTTTTGTTTTTACTTAAATTTTAAAAAATTAATGTGCCAAAATAATCCCCTAACGATTTACACAAGGTCATTTCAGTCCTAGAGTCTACAAAAGTGACGCATTAGTCCACAAACCCTTTTATCTGGATAGGACTATTTTAACCCATAATAAAAGAATCCAGTTACTAAATTGGCACTTTTATAGGCTATGGAACTAAAATAATCCCTGCAAAAAGTCACGGCACTATTTTGACCTTTTTCTCACATTTAAAAACATGTTTGTTTACTATGTTTTTTGCATGTTTTAATTTGTTGGTTTTTAAAAATAAATTAGTTTGTTTTTAAAACACTTAAAAACACTCAAACAATCTAAAATTTGTTTTCAATATTTTTAAATAATACTAATTATATTATATTATGCCAAATATGTTTTGTTTTAAATCAAAACATACACAAAATAAAAATAAAAAATAAAAAACAAAATCAAAGGCAATCTCAAACGGCCATCAAGTAAAAAAATTGAAAAGATTACAAACTCATACCAATCTAGAACGATATTGACCAAAATCACTCCCATCAAATTCATCACTCCATAGTTCTAGAGTTTCATTTGATAAATATCCCGGTGTATTACTTTTCTTGATCATTCGTTGGAGAGATACGTCCAAAAGAACGGCACAGATGTCATCGTTAACAAAATTTGGCAACCCTTTTTTCTCCTTATCTGACTGAGTAGGGACAAGGCCCGGATTATCAACAGCAAGATTAGGGTCCTTCGTTGGTAAAACATACCTTCCTTTGGACACAGACTCTCTCATCAATGTCTGTTATAGGCAGAAATCATCCCAAATGACAGATAATTATGAAAATGGGGCTCAAATGATAGTACTACAGAGAAAAGTATACAGACCAGCCAAAAAAGTAAAGACTGGAAATGGAGACCGAACTTGTAATGTTGAAAATAGCCCATCATCTGGAAAGTACAAATTAATCTTCTTAGTCAAGATCATCAGTTTTTACGAATTAAAAAAACAGAAAAAAGCAAACCAGCAACAAGAATTACAAAAATATAGATTTGAGTATGAACTTTATTTTTCCCAACGGAAGTAGGAAATCAATGATAGTTTTTCAAATGAAAAAAACATAATACAACTGCATCAATAACACAGATATTAGCTTCATCATAAAGAATAATAGTTAGCTTGCATCCTGTTTGTAAATATGAAAAGATCAGGGGTAATTATGTCCATGCACTTTGGTGAAGAAACCGAGCATCCAATCAGCTTAGAACCGTCGGGCCACGAAAATCAAATCTCAATAATGAAATGTAAATCAAACTTGCTATATCTAGGAATGTTAAAAAAGATGGTTGTGGAAAAAAATTGCTACAAAAATTATGCTGTTACCACAGAAATATGTTTGGCAAAAAAATCATGATAATGCTCCCTTTATTCAAAAAGGAGAGGAAAGCTAGAATGTCCAAGACTTTGTAAAAGGGAACCTCATACGAGAGGATAGCACAAGCATGTTTACAATAATCTCCAAACCATTCCCTGCCACCCATACCGTACAGTTAATGTTGTTCACATTCTGCACTCTAAAGCGTGATTTCCTTGTTTCAAGGATCACTTTTTTTCACATGATAGCTCTGATGGACATAAGAAAGCAAATGAAATTATAATCTAAGAATGAAATAGCTATAGAACCAAAAATCAGTCTACCATAGTGATGCGGGTTGGTTGGGGGAGGGGGGGTGAAAGAGGGTTGGTCAGCTCCCTCTAGGCCTAGGGTTGTTGCCCAATTGGAGTGGGCCCACTCCTAATAGGAGTTGATCTATTCAAGTGTTTCTTTGATGTCTACGCCTAAGTTATTCTGTGATTTGCTTTGGGACAGCCATTAGCGTCTCCTTTTCTCTTTCTAGGGTTGTATCCTAGAATTCCAAGTGGTGCTTCGACTATATCTTGATCTTCAAGTGGTGTGTATCCCCTTCTATCCTTTTCGTACTCTCTCCTACATAGATTCCCTTCACCCACGCTGCATTCCTGTGCTGCCACCTTGTGGAAGCACTTCCTCCTTGTTGCCGCCACCTAGAAAAACTCCTATGATTGTTTCCAGGTTGCTAGCCGCCCGTTGCCACCATCCTGGAGGTTCAAACCATAATAAGCACCACCTAAACCTACATCCAACCCTAGTTCTAGTGTTGTGTTTTCATTTTGTCGCAATTTTATATTTCCAAGCAGTTTATTGTAATTTCAAACTTTGAATTCAATAATAAGATTTATTTTCTCTTGGGACTTTGTATAATGAGTGCAGTGAAACCTCACGCATGACACCCAAATGAGTGCTTGGACATCTGTCAGCTATTTGAAATAAATATGGGAAATTTCAAGTGCACGTCATATTTATTAGGGAGTATTTGTTAACCATATATACTCTACAAGTAAAATCAAGAAATTGATAAAAAAAGCAGATGATAAACGCAATATTATGCACAATTAGATCAAAATGCTTCAACTACAACGAAAGTCGAACATCATCTAGTTCCAAACCGACCACATCGATGCACTCGAAACATTAATATTAACTAAGGTAAATTACATCATCCCTAGAATTGTTGCATTCTGAAAGAAACAAAAACTTGGTCAAGGAGGCAATCACACAGAATTTTGATGAATGAGAGCAACCAATTCTTTTTCTAAGCAAAAGTCAACATACATTTGCTGTTGAAATACAAAAACATCTACATAAATTATTATTTCTACTATAAAAAAATCTTTTTCGTTATTATAACTTAAGTTTTAAAAGTTAAATTTATAGTTACTTAAATTAATATAACCATTTAATTTTATTGCACAAACAACAATACACCCACATATACTCACATACAAACATACACATGTATATATGTATGTATGCAAGCATGTGTATATGTGTTTTTGTATTAAATTTTAATTAGAAAATTTTTAATTTAAAAAATTTAAATTAAATTAATCAATTAAAATTTAAATTCATGCTTTAATGATTATTATATATGGAATTATTGTTTAAAGAAATAATAATTATTACTTTTAAATAAATTAAAATTATCACACACACATACACACACATAGAAATCATGTAAAATTCCCTCTCATGCACTATGTGATGGTGCTGACCCATCTCGTCCATCCCTCACATAACATTAATCAATTCCTTTTATGGTTCTCTCATATTCTCTCACCTCTTTAGTTACACCAGGCTAGTATCTCAATCCCTACCTCAATCATGTACCTGCTTGCTCATTCTCTCCCTAACTGTCTCTCTTGATGCCCTTCTCTACATTTGTTTCTCATATTTGACTGCCCTCCTCTTTAATTCTTAGCTGACAATTACCTGAGTGTAGATCAATCTTAAAAAATAGCGAAGTCCCTTACAATTGATCATCAAGGTCATAAATCCTTGGCACAGGATACTTTTGATTGTGAGCTTGTTTATTTCTAGACAATTAATGCATAACCTTAAATTTTCATCTTTCATCGTAACAAAAAGCATCGAGGCTCCCTAAGGGGAAATGCTTGGCCTAATAAATATTTTCTCAACTAAGTCCACTGACTTTTTAATTCTTGTAGATCATTAATTTTCATTCTATAAGGTATCTGTCATTGGTACTGCACCTGATTTAAATCAATAGAAAATTTTCTCTCTTTAAAGGCAAACTTGAAAATTCATTTGGAACGATTTCTGGATACTCCTTTACTATGAGTATATCGCCCTACTCTTTTTTTCATATTTTCAATGACTTAAGCCGGAAAACCTTGATATCCTTTTGCTAACATTTTGAAAGCCTTTAAACTCGATATCATCATGGATAAGATTTTTCAATCTCCCAAAAAAATTGAATTCTTCTTCTCCAAGGATTTTGAATTGGACTCTTAAGTGATTAGATAGGCAATACATCTCAAGAATAATTTTAAATTCGGTTAGTAGTAATACTATCAAATTTGCCATCAAACTTTTATCACATCTGGTCAGATTCACACAACAGCTTCTATCAACAATTATGCAACCTGCTAGGCAAAATGAGTATTAAGGCATCAGACATCCTGAATGAGTCCAACCCTTAAAATTTCACAAATTCTTCAGCGATAAACGAATGTGATGCTTTAGTATCAAATAAAATTTTAACCAATTTATTGTGGATAGATGTCATATCTATAATAAGAAGAATATAAAAACCAAGTGTAAAATAAAAATTTGATAGATTTAAATAAAGCAAAAAAACTATATGTATTAACGTCAAGAGAATCATTAGCTTCATATAGAATCAGTGAATAAACTCGAGGCACCGCAACCTGACGGGTTTGACTCTAAAGCTTGAGCAGATCCTAACAACTCAGTTGACATCTGCCTGTCAGAAGTTCCTAGAAAGGTGGAACATCAGCTCTGGTATCAAGCAAGCGTATCTAGCCCAAGTTAAAGCAAGATTTTGCAATGTGTCTTAACTAATGGCACCAAAAAAAAGTGTTGGCACCCTATAGACATTCTCCTCTGTCTTCCCAAATTTGGCACAGGTGGTCACACTGCTACTGTTGTCAGTGTCACAGTTACCAACTCAAGGCAACTTCAAGTTAAATTTCCCAAAATGCATAAACAGAAAGGCATGCTCATTTTTGGACCACTTATCGCCTCTCCTCTTTTGAATATCTCTACGCCTCATGCAGCCAGCAGATCAATCTCTATCATCCTCACTCTCTCCGCTAGGACTAAGTAATCCTCAATGTTCAATGAATTTAAAGTTCGTTTAATCACATTCTTTAACTCACATAAAAAATGACAAGGCTTTTCTTTTGCATTAGAGATCAACTATGGGGCATAACTGAATAGCATCGTGAAATCAACCTCCTTTCGCACAATAAAACGATCACCTTGCACTAGTCTGCAGAATCTATCATACATATGTCGCCCAGCCGATAGTAGGAAAAATCAATCTCAGAAGATCTTCACAAAATCCTCCCATTGAATTAGTTTTTTTGTCATCCCTCAAACTTCTTCTGTAGTTGCCCCTACCACCACCACTCTGCTTCTCACTTGAAAGCAAAGGTGGCCAATGTAACTCCTCTCTTAAGAGCAGGACATAACATCAATGATATTTTATATCCTCAATAGTCAGTTTGCAGCCTCCACTAACCCTCCTACTCTTGAAAAGAGCGGCGATATCATGTCCTAGAATAGCAATAAATATTTATCCATTGTTGTTGTCCCACTAGCCTTGGCCTAGGACTGAGAATCCTTAATCAATGGTGTCACTGCTACAATCAACTGTGCAAATGTTTCCATGGGGACATTAGCACTACTAAGGGGATCAATAAGTACTTTGCACACAAAATTTCTGTTGTTCAGCCAGTCTAGCCTCCCTAGTGTACCCGTCTATATCCTCTCGATTCATATGCATTGCCCTCAGATATCAAAATTTTATAATATTTCAATAACTATAAGAAATGTTATTTAAGTTTCAACTTTTTTATGATCATTTTCCTGGTAGCTCTATATTTTAGCGTTTAAAATATCAAGGCGAAAACAGTCAGATTGAGAGAAAAATACATAAAAATTTTCATTTCATAATTAATCTAATCCGAAACATAAAAGAAAATTTTTGTTTCATAAAACTTTCATTTACAATCAGTTCGTATAAGTATTAAATTTTTACAACTAACATAATATAAAAACTGAAATTATATACCTATCAATTTGAGCTCTTCGTCATCTATATACATATTCTCTAGAATCCATTTATTTTGAAGTTTATTTTCTTAAAATATGTTGGCTGGTAAAGATATGAGATAAACTACTCATTGGGTGAAATTTCATAATAATCTTTTAAAATTTTAATTAATTTAACTTAATTATTATAAAAAAAATTATTGTTACGCCACTAGTTTCACAGGTGTTGTTTGATAAACCCCGCACCGCCTGCGGGAAAGTATATGAAGACTC